TTTAAGTCCTAAAACGACAATTAAAACGAAACGAAGGAAGTAGTATACTATTATGAAAATGTAATTTAGACCAAACCATCTTGGTGTTTAATTTTAGGCTTTCATGACCGATGGCTCGTCTCGTGGCTCTACTCTTTTTATTTCTGCGAGCTTTCTTCTGCTTTTCGTTTGAGGCTTTGAGCATGTGCTTCGAAGACCACGTGGTCTCTGCTAAAGCTCATTCCATTTTTTTTTTTGTCAATCACACATTTATTAAAAAATTCCTTGGTTGGTTGCCCAACTAGGAGGAAAAATGTTTACAAAAGTAGCTTCAGAAAATAAAAGTCTAGAAGAGCGCGCTAAACAGTCCGTTTTTTAATTACAAGAACGAGAAATAAGGGAAAGTGAGAAAGATGAAAAGGAAACACGTAGCAAACCAAACTCGTCTAGAAGGTTGGAGAAAGCTGGCCATTCGTCAAGTGACTGTACCATCGAGACCAATTCTGAGCAATCTGATTCAAACGCCTGACAAGCAATCCTTCTTGAAAGGATATTCTTCATGGCCCAAATTAAAGCTTCCATTTCCGAATGAAGGGGTGAGGGCGATCTCCTAAGGCATTTTGCACCAAGCAGTATAGTTTGAGCAGTTCCCTGAAAACACCACCAACCTAAACCCATTGTTGGATCCGTAGCTTTCCATGAACCATCAAACCGACATCGTAATGATTGGTTTGGGGGTTCCGAAAATTCCGTAAATGTAATATTGTCGATCGGATCCATTTGAGCTTCTTCCCACAGTAATTTCTCACTCAAGGCGCGATTTAAAATATCTGTAGGATCTGTTTGTATTCCTTTAAAAAAAATTTTATTCCTATATTTCCATATGAACCACAAAATCCAGGCAAAACCATTTGTTTTTTTCCCTATCTCGAAGAGGTGGTATCCTCCAATAAAGATAATCTAGATTTGAAAGTTCCAAACTTAGAGGAAAACAACCTAGAACCAAAGGAACCGCGGATAATTCCCATATTTTCAGAGAATGAGAACACGCAAATAAAGCATGATTTATAGTTTCCTCTGCCAGCTCACACCTTTTACAAATAGTGTCACAGCTAATCCCTCGCTGTACTAATTTTGATGTAACAGCCAAATATCCTGAAGCGATTTGCCATAAGAAATGTTTTATTTTCGGAGGAGCTTTGACTTTCCACGCTTGAGCTTGTAGGATTTTAAAATTTGGTCCCCATTCTACCGTCTCACACATCTGGCCTATAAATCTGACTAATAGTCATTCCTCTAATGATTTGTATATCCAGCGGATCCAAAACTTCTTGTAGAAGAGGAAGGTGCCATTCTTTAGTAACCGGATTAATTAAATGGTTAACCATCAGACTTGGGAGTAATAAATTTCCCCTCCCCCTTGCGGGCCTTGGATTATCATCTGGAATTCAAGGATCTCGCCAAACCGATATGTTGAAACCTGAATCTAGTGACCATCTTGCACCCATTTCGACAATCCTTTTCGACGAAAAAAATACTCTTCCATCCAAACGATGGAGAATTCGTTTTTTTTTGCATTTAAAGGATGAACATTCCTGAAATATCTACCTTTTAGCACTCGCGCTACTAAAGAATCTGGGTATTGGATTAATCTCCAATATTGTTTAGCCAACATGGCATCATTAAAGGTATCTAGAGAATGAAAACTTAGACCTCCTTTTTCTTTATCCATACACAATTTTTCCCATGCTATCCAATGGATACCACGGTCCTTCCATTAGAACTCTACCAATATTTAGATATTGCACTTGTTAGCTTAGATGTTAGCTCTTGAGGGAGTTTAAAACAAGACATAACATAGGTTGGAAGCGCCAAGGCAACAGATTTGATCATTGTCTCTTTCCCGCCTTTTGACAGATATTTAGCTGACCAGCCATTAATCCGTTCATTTCCTTTTTTTTTTTTGGTGTGTTTTTTTTCCTTTTTTTATGAGTGAGTAATTTAGTGGAGTAGTATTTTAAGGATTTGTTATGTTTACTATCCATCGGAAGGAAGCTAAAAATATAAGTTAAAATAAACCAATTTTTAAGGAAACATTTTTCTTTATGGAAATAGATATTTTCTCACTGTTCAAACAAATAAAACCTTCCAGCAGAAAAAAAAAAAAAGCAACTTTGAAAATAAAGTCTTGTCTTTTGAAAAATGAAACTTTACTTAAATAACTTTACAATTAAATAGTAATTCAAATTCGTTAGAAAAAAACTGAAATTTTGGCAACAAAAGCATTGCATTTTGACATCCACTCAAGCGGCGACACTATGTTTACATCGGTATAAATCTTGTTTCAATTGAACTATAGAGGTAGGAGATTTTTTGAAACCAAAATTTTATTCATATGAGATTTTTCGAAATGTATCGAGAAGATTAAAAAATGATAATAATCTTTTGAAACTCTACAAGAATCAACTATCGAATTAACTTTTATGCTTAAACATGATTGATATATGTTGATATAATATTTTGTTATTGTTAATCCAAAAGTTGAGAGAACACTGTTGGTAAACAGCAAAACAGAAGGTATGCCGAGTTATTTTAGTTACAAATTTAATAAACAAAAGTTTGGCAACAAAACACATTGTCGAACCTCATAAATACATGTCATTTCATGTTCTCTGTTTTACGCCCATTAATCCGGTAACTATTTTTTACTCTCTTGTTTTCGTATTATATATAGTATGATTTTTGCACTTTTTTAAAGTTTGTGTTCGGGCTTTTGTTAGGTGACTCTGGTCGGTTGTTGCGGTGGGATCCAAAAACTCTCACTTGCAAGATTTGTCTAATAACCTTAAATAAATACTATGTCACTCGTTTTGGTCGTTTGTTAACTCATGTATTAAATCCAAAATTAAATAATTCTAGTCAAGAAAGGAATGCATTCTCTAACACAATTTTAACAAAAACAAATAGTACTAAATTATTCAGTTGACTTAGCACTCAAAGTCTATTCTCAATTCACACAAGTATACATATACACAAACTGATAAACATATATGAAAAAACATTCTTCGTGCTGGCCATTATCTAATTTGTTGCCGTCCAAAAACTTTCAAGTGGAGCAAAAATTTGGATATAGTAAGTAGTAACTTGTGCTTTAATCTCGATTTAATTTTTTGCTTGAGGATGTAGGTGACAAATTAAATTTGAACATTGATTCAAAATATTAGATTATGTGAATAATAAAATTTAAATGAAAAGGTAAAAGCAATCTGATATGCTGATAGGTATACACACATAAAATATAGGTCAGGAAGATGAATTAGCACTGTCAGATTTCATATATATTTTCTTGGAAAGTGAAATAGCAGAAAGAAAAAGTAGTAAAAATGAGAAAAATAAATTAATGGACCAGTGACTGACAAGTCACTTCCAAATGCGCAAGTGAGGAAATTTTCCATTACTTTTTATAAATTTTAACTTTAAGTTTGTTTTTTAATTATTAATATTTTTGCTAGAGTAAGAAAATTGCATACAATCTCTAAAATTTCATGTATATTAGGGATGGACAAAAATGATTTGAACATTTCAATTTTGATTCTTTTTTTTTTCGTCCTAAAGATTTTTATAGCAATCAAGGTGAAATACAAGAGTGAAATACAAGAGTGAAATACAAACCCGGCGGTTAACAAGTAACCCAAGAAACTTAACCGATGATTAAAGAGATAATTTCGGAAGCAAAATCCAAAGAAAAGGGAAACAACATCTCGTCAACCACATTACCAAACAAAAGAAAGGAATAACTTTACGACGAGCCACTCCGTAGGGGATAAGGAACTTCCAACCAAACGGACAACGGTACCACCTATTACGATGAAAATTACCTCACACAGACGAGTTCTAAGGAATCCATACCAGCGAGAAGGGATCTAGGCCAAAGGCATCAATATCACACCAACACTCTCGGAAGCGGCGAAATCAAAGAATATGATTGTTTAACGCCTCGAAAGAATCCAACCAATGAACATATGAGATCTCGATCAGATCTTTAGAGTAGAAACAAGGAGAACCAAATCAATTCGGACCACACCGAACAAGATAAACGGCAGGAGATCAAACCGGACAGAATCTAAAGCAATCACCACATCTGGTAAGAGGCTAAACGAGACGAAGGCTAAAACACAGAAGACCGGATCAAAAGGCGCTACTAGCAACAAAGACGGCATACCCACAAATACGACAGAAGCCATCTAAGAACAAATCAAAGATAAGCCATTACAAGCACACTCTTGCACAAATTTCAATTTGATTCATGTTGAGTTTTAATATAGTATGATTGATACTCCCTCTGTTCCTGAAAATTTGATGTTTTAGAGTTTACACATATATTAAGAAACAATCATGATTTAATCATTTCATAATTTTTTCTTTTTATTAAATATTTTTAATAATGTATGAACCAATAGTAATCTAAAACAGTTAATTATTTGTAATCATTACGCCTTGAAATCTACGATTTGTTAATATCAATTAATAAAAAATAAAATAAAAAGCTAGAAAATCAATCTTTATGGAACAAACCTAAAATAATAGAACATCAAACTTTCAGGAACATAGGGAGTATTATAGATTATAATGTTTTTGCAAGATACACTAGTTATGAGGATACAAATCTAACACATCATAATTTGTCCAGGAGAATCTACCCACCTCCTTTCCTAATAAGTAGCATGATCAGTACAAAGTAAGTCTATAATTTGATGTGTTGAGTAGTTGGCAAACAAAAAGCTAAGTATAATAATAAAATTAATTAAATAAATTCAGCTACATTTTATTATAGAGTCATTAATTAACATTTACTTTTTGTTATATTTTTTGGAAGCAAATTTTAAAACTTTTTTGTTTTTGGTAAGTAGCAAATTTTAAAACTTGTTACTAAAAGATTATTTTCTTCACGTTTTTTACTAAGAGAATGCAAAAAAATATATGACACATTTGGAGCTGTGTGACAAAATGAAGACGACAGAGATATGTAATAAATATATATATTTTCAATTCTCAAGGTGTCAGGATTCACATAATGATCCATCACTGTACAAAGGCAAAAACAAGACCCTTCACTAATCTGAGACTCTGCCACAAGATTTATCTGTTTTTGTCATCATCATCTTCACTCTTCATTTCAAACTAATTTAACAAAATAACCAAAAATCCTAATTTCATTTTTTTATATAAAAATTAAACCTAATCGCTAATCTTCTCCCGCTGTTCCTTAATTGAAGTCAAGCTATCAATCGATTTCTCCGACATTGAATCACTTGAAATCCTTGAAAACAAATACGAATCTACAAAAAAAAAAAAAAAATTGTCATTAGCATTTTCTTCATAATTAACATTAAAACTAAACAAAAATGATCCAATTACAGAGTTTCTAATTTACCTTCAGACGATGAAGTACTAAGTTTCTCTTGTGAAGAAGATTCACTCGTAGATCGTGATAACAAAGAAGATTCTGAAAATCAAATAAAACCCATAAAGATTAACCAAAAAACCAATAATCAAATTTGAGAAATTACAGAGCAAGACTCTGTTTTTTTTTAAAGACTCTGTTTTTAACATACCTCTGGAGCCGTGAAACGATCTCTTGCAATGAAGAATCGCACTTTGAATACCATCTTGTTGAACTTGTAAAGACTCATCAACTCTGTTCGCCGGAGACATTCCTCCGATCGCCGCAGAAGCTGACCGACTCTTCCCAAGTTGTCTTCTTACACTTCGAATCCCCAACGGAATATTACTCCTCTGTTTCTCCCTTGCCGCCGGTGATGACGACGGAGATGTAATCGTCGAGGATGAATGTTTCTTCGTTGATTTGGTGTATAAAGGTTTTATGAGACTGAAGAATCTCTTCGAAACAGAGTCGTCGAACATCGTGTCGTCTGTTTGTTGTAATCTCGCAATGCTCGCCGTTTTTCTGAAGCTCGTTGTGTCGTCGTCGACTCTGTTGTTTTCTTCTTTCTTCTTCTCAGTCGTCGTTGACTTTTCAGACTTCTTGAATGAGAAAGCACGAAACTTTGGTCCGGATTTCAAAAGAGTGATCGGAGATTGTTGTTGTTTTGTAGTGATATCAACGAAAGGAAGGACTTTGCTTTTGTTAGAAACAGAGTACGTCTTCGTTTCGAGTCTCTGTTTTTCTGTTTTGAAATCGGAGAGAGAGATCTCGAGTTCGAAGAAGGAATCGTCTCCTTCGTAGAGGTCAAGTTCGGGATCTTCTGATGCGGTGGTGGAATCGACGGCGGATTCTGAGATTCTGATTTCACGGCGAGGTTTGATGGTTGTGTTGTTGTTGGTTAACCAGAATTTCATAAAGCTAAGAGCTTCCATTTAGAGAGAGAGAGAGAGAGAGAGAGAGAGAGTAATGGAGCAAGAAAGAGAGATGAGAGTAAAGAGTTTGGCTTTGTCAACGGAAATGGTGAAGTGAGGATTTATATATAGAAAGGAGAAAGAAGAAGAAGAAAGAGAAAGTGAGCTTTTTCGAAATGGGTTTTATCTTTTTTTTTTTTTTGGTAAAGAAAGAAAAAAGAGATATGAAAAAATGGCATTTTAATTTGCTTTTTTTCTCTTTTTCTCTTTTTTTTTTCTTTTTTTTTTTCTTTTTTTTTTTCTTTGCTTTTTATTTTTTCTAAAGCACAGGTTAATTTGTTCTATATGTTGTCTTCATTTATTTAGCTTTCTATGCCATAACTCACATGATATTAGCTTTTTCTTTAGGCTAAAGTACTTTTTTTTTTTTTTTAAATACGTTAATTTTTTATATCTGGAACTAAAATACGTATTTATAAAATATATAAAATAATTAACGTTTTTCCTTTTCTCAAAACTAACTCTTTCTCATATTGTAAATATTTATGTCTTTATATAAATTTGCGATAAAAATTGAATAAGAAAATAGCCTATTAGTATATTTTTACGTTCAAATACTACAAAACTAATAATGATTTTTAACAATAAAATTATAAGAAAAGAGGAGAAGCATGGAAGAAGAAAAACCTCTCGTAACATACTTTTCTCTTTGGACTTTTCGGGTAAAACGAGAGATGCCATGCATGCTCAACTGGAACCAAAAGCGAAAGAGCGACTCGTGGTTTGACCGCAACATGATCATATAAATTTCAATTGATTGTTTCTAATCTTGATAAATCTGTATCCCTAATATATTCTAACAACACCAAATATAGGTAAAGATGCTCTTTTTTTTTTGTTAAAGAGGTAAAAATGCTCTTATCTTCATAAACTATAGTTAAAAAACCGTCAAATTGACTCTTACAAATAATGAAATCAATTAGTACCAAATAAAAAAACAAGACAAAATGAAGAACACAGAAATAAATAAAAAAGAATGACAAAAAGAAACATTTACTACACAGAAAAAGAAGAAGAGTTTAGCTCTGTGAGGTCTGAACTCTGACCTTTAAGTGTATAAAGATAACTTGGGGTTCTTTCCATGACAAAAGTATAGTTGGCCCATTTTACATACTTCATTTTTCCTTTTGTCTCTACTCTTAAAGAATAAATTGTTATATACTAGTATAAATTTGTTATGATGTATATCAAAGGTTTATAACCTCAAAAGCTTTGACTTGAAAAGCTCTTTCTTTTGTGAATTTCAAAATTTTACACCCTCTTTCACTTTAAAGTTTAAAGAACAGTTTGCTTTTAACTTTTCTTTTCTTTTTTGTTAAACACTTTGTTTTTAACTTTAATACAAGTAAGAATCAAAAACATTAGTTTTTAATAAGTTATTCATTAGGCTAACTCTGTTTTTTACTTTTTGATGTCTTCCTACCTTTTTTTTTTGTATTTCGATTCGATTTTAAGCTTCTAAATTTGTTCTGCTATTCTTGCTTTTAATGCACCAAAACTATGAACCAAGAAACCAAAACAATTAAAGTTCTATTGGTTACATACATTAAAAGCATTCTTTACTAGGAAGTTGGTTTATACTTGGCTGTAGTTAACCTATTTAATAGCTGGTGACATAAAAAGAAAAAGGATAACTATATAGTAGTAATAATTTTTCTTTTTTGTTGGTTTTGAGTTTTGACTGTGCAATACTCCCTCTGTTCCTAGAAGATTGATTTTCTAGAGATTTCACATATTTTAAGAAACAATCATTGTTTAATTATTTATTTTTATTAAACATTTTTTAATAAACTATGAACCAATAGTAATCTGAAACAGTTAATCATTATGTCTTGAAATCTACGATTTATTAATATCAATTAATTAAAAATAAAGAAAAAATGTATAAAATCAATCTTTGTGGAACAAACCTAAAACACTAGAACATCAAACTTCTAGGAACAGAGGGAGTAGTTTTCTAAGGATAGCATTGGGCTATACCCGACTAAAGTGCTTATACTGTTAGACCTAAATATGATCTATAGAATAATGCAAAAGTTATGCCTACTCATACGTTCGTAACTACATCCACGCAATTGTCATGGAATGTGTGTATGCATTATCACATTAATAGAATTGTTAATTAGGAATTGAACGAATTTTTATGTTTTGGTCTATTAAAAGGTGCTTACAAACATTTATAACATAAAGAAACTTGAAGATATAATTCAATAGTAGCTCTTTACCTTAAGAAAATGTGCTTCATTAAAAAAGACCCTAATGTTAATGGTTTCCACGACTAATTATCATTAGGTTACTTATAATATGTATATAATAAACATTGTGTAGACTTCCATTTATTTACACATTAGCTTACTAGCTTCTTCAATATTTTAAACATATAATAAGTTCATCCTTTTTTCTCCAATCTCTGATAGACAATATGAGTCACAAAGTAATTAGGTTTTCATTGTTTCAAGCATTAATTAACTTTTGTTTCTACACAAATAGGCTATAAGCCTCTAACATTCTTGAATTTTGATAGGGCCAAATGGTCCGATTAGGCACCACAAGCCCATAATGGGCCGAAATATATTTCTCTTTAGTGATTTACAAGTGATGTATGAATGTTTTGTTTATACGTAAGAAAGTTTCCATAGTCGTCCAGGAAAGGCTTCATCGTCTGATTCGCTTTCATCATCAGAACTCTCTATTCCCAGTAAGTAGTTGACAACCTGTGAGGTAACAAAACCACCAAAAGCAGATGAATAACTAGCTCAGTAAGTAGACAAAACGCGACGAACATTTCAAGGGAATAGCTTACCTGGTGAGTTGATATGAGGTCGAGTGGCTTGTTGCCTGATTTCAACCGACATTGTCTGTTTGCACATCTCAAGTCGTCGTGCCAAACAATAGAATCACAGTAACTGCAGTATCCCCGACCAGATCTCAACGCCTTTGATGAATTAGCCGCTGCACGGTTACACAAAGTTTACTTTAGAAATTACATAATAGAGAAAGCGGCAGTTTCTGATAGGGAGAAGATAAAACCGTGGACAAAAGCCCTAACCGATAAATGCATTCTTAAAGGCTTCTCTCCAGTCAATACCGGACTGAATACGAATCAAGACCTTTTGATTGAAGTGAAGGTCAAATTGTGTTTGCCACAGAGAGTTCTCATGCGTTGCTTGGTTCCATGAGCTACAAACATATGAAACAAAACAAATAAGTAGAAGGAAAAACAGAAGAAGCAAAAGACTCGGCAATGTGGAAATATAGAGGAGGAAGTACCGAGACACTTGAGCTGAGGAAAGTAAGGACGATACATCGAGGAAACTGAAGATGTGAATAAGGATATCTTGTGGAAGTGAAGGAATATCTGAAAAAAGGGATTTACACATGGTGAAGGATTATCTCGGGATATTAAAGAAGACATTTCAAGAAAGATAACTAGAAAACATACCTATATCTTTTTCCTCACAGCTCTTACTGCGTCTCTTTAGTGCTACTTTTGCCTGCTTGAATTCTACAATGGCTAAATTCTTCTTCTGTTTGGGGAGCACAGCTTCTACGCTCTTCAGGAGAAGGTTAGCGGCTGAAACAGCAGCTGATGTATTGATGCTAAATATAAAAAAATACAGAAACGGTTAGTAGTATTAGTCTTAATAGACTTAGAAGAAGAAACATAGATTTGCAATTGCAAAAACATATCAAGAATCTAAGAGATTTGTGTACTATAGGAATGATGTTCTCTTGAGTAGCCTTATTGTCACACTAAGGGCTCAAATTCGATTGTTCCAATCCAAGAAAAAACTTGCCATTACGTTCACATTACTAAAATCTTGTTCTTATATTAACATTGAAACAGAACATTTTAGCTTTTCTTACAATTATTTTTTGCAAATGAGAAATGCAAACACAGAGAATCAGTGAATCCCATAATCTATTGGCATGAAATAAAGCCATTCGAAGAACCAACCCCAAACTAGACTTAATCCTCTGCTTCATGGTTGGCGATAATCTAAGAAAATTTCCCACCTTTGGTTCGATATTCGGGACTTTTAATCAACAGATACAGGAACCATAACATTGAATTATCTGCTGATATTCAGCACAAAGCAAAGTTGTAAAACACTAGAAATGTTTGTGTTATTCAAAAAAAAAAATCACAACATTCTACAATTTCTAATTTGTTTGCAAATTGTATATGCAAATACAAAGACTCAAGCTAATTTGATTGGCACAAGTAAAGCCATTCAAAGATCAATCCTCTGCTTCATGGTTGGCTGAAAGTTCCCAACTTTATTGATATTTTTCGATTCTATCAACCCTAAGAATTCAGCTACAACAGATGAACAAAATCTCAACACAGAAAAACCCTAAACTAGAGCCTCAAAAGAACCCTAAATACTCGCAATTGAGATGAATTTAGTACTTACTCGGGAAGAAGACGAAAAGCGGAGAGAGTATCACGAAAGATCAAAGCTTTGACATTTTTGGGTAATCGAGCGTAAGCAAGATTCAAAATGGAGCTTAGTTCATTGCAAGCAAATGAGTAAAGACGATTCTTCGATAAAGCTTCTCCTACCATTAGATTTTGGTATCTCTCCATTTCTCCTTTTTTCTGGGATCAGAAAATCATCGTCGAGGTTCTTTTCATTATAGCGGTTTTGTGTAATTTACTCAATTCCAAATCAAACCGGAACCGGTATAAGACATGGGTTGGTATAGTTTTGGTTTTTCATTCGATTTTTTTTTTTTGAATTTAATGTTAAATTATACTATTTAAAAGAAAAATAACGTTGTTACAACTAGTGCATCCAGAGTTTGAAAGAGTTAAAATCTGAAATTTTAATTGAGTTTGCTAAGACTTAGGGTTGGGTTTGAAGCCAAGCTTGGAAGCAGGCTTCATATCGACGCGGATGGTTGTAATCTGATTTCTAACTTGCGAGTCGATCCATTTGATTAGTTGGCCTGCATTGTTCGGTGTTTTACCGTGTCTCTGTTCATTTCTTTCCCTCCAAATGGTCTCCGTTCATTTCTTTTCATTCGATTTCTAGTTCAAATATATGAAATTTCTATGTAACAAGACTCAAAACAATCAT